TTCCTACATTATTCAATTCACTTTAACAGAAAAGTGCCTATACATTGGCAATGCAAGTCAGGGTGAGATCTGCTGACGTTTTAAGGGCTCCATGCTGACCCCCCAGCACACTTCAGTTTCCCACATGGCTCTCAAACTTTTCTCAGTGTATTCCAACTTGCCTGTAAACAGAAACACATTCATTTCCCCATTTTCCCCAAACAAATGAGCTGAGGAGAGCTTCCAAGGAGCAGCTTCATTTTAGGTCCAATTCAGGCAGAGGCAGAGCAGGGAAAAAGGGCCATGCTGAGAAGCACCATTCTGCTCCTGCGCAACGGGGCCAGAGCCACACTGGGATGCCGTGCCTTCTGCTCCCACCTCCCAGCAGCACCACCCTGCAGCTCCATTCCTCGCTCCCAGGGAAGCTCCTTCCCCTCCTCCAGGCTGAGCACCACCGGCGTGCATGGCTTCCTTATCCAAATATTTCCATGCAACTCAATCCTCCAAAATACCAGCCACTTATTTCCATGACACAAAGTCTATGCACAACCATGAGACTGCATTATCTGACACTGACTAACTGAAACACTGAGCTGCAGCTCGACATTTTTTTTTTTTTTTACTGAATCATCATCACCAACGGATGTGTTCTGCTACAAAGTCTGATGAAAAGATCTCCTTCCTACTCCTTCCCTATCAAAGGCTTGCATTTCAAACTGCTCGCTTCCAAGACGAGAGGATCCCCTGTATCAGAACCTCACACTGCCTTCTCTGCCAGCAGTGCAGCACTCGAGAAGCTAGGCCCTGTAAATGAGTAAGGCTGCAGAGGAAAGCCCAGCCCCGCACCACGGGCTCCATAAGGACGGCAGGAACACGCCTGAGTCAGCAAATGAGCAGCTACCAAAAGAAGACAGTGTCTCATTGTCAATGTATATGATTGTGATTGCAATCGCTCTCTAAATATGAACACATCAGAAGCACTGTGACCTTTTTACTCCAAAATTACTTGGAAATATTCGAGGGCTTAAGCATTGTTTTCAAAACTAACTCACATTGTGTCTCAAAAGACCACTTGCGAGTAGGAAAAAAACTCATTTAGAATGGGATGAATAAGAAAAACAGTCAGTCTTAAAAACTGCACGGATCCGCCTGCTTTGGATACCTCCCCTTCGCTAAACTTAGCCCTTCCATGACCCTCGGGGAGGAATGCAAGACCTGTCTATGTTATCAAGTTTATACGGATTAAACTTTAGCATAAACAACAGTTCCCTTCTACACTTCACTCTAAAAGCCAAATTCCTGACTATTTCTCAATGCCACTGTTCTGCATCCCTCCCTCTTCATTCCCCCTTTTTCTTAAGGTTGGGTGAGTGTGGGACTATCAGATTCCTGACCACAAAAGAAATCGCTCCCGCTGCTCCCCACAGCTCCCACTCCAAGAGGGGACAAGTCCTCCAGCATTTTTCCACCTTGAAGTCTGAGCACATCACTACGCTTTGCAGATTACCTCCCATACTGCTCAATGAAGTATTTGCGTGTGTTGGGTAGGAGGAAAACAAAAAACTCACTTTTGAGAAAATGTCTCTTCCCCAAATTATTTTACGTTTGTTTCACCGTTTAAGCATTTCAATCAGATGCACGGATCAAGAAGTCACATTTACAATTTAAACAATACTGACACTCCTATAGGGTTTGTCAACAAAACCCGGGTTTAGGCTGGGATCCACTGCACAGTTTTCTTCTGGGCTCCAGCTCTTCAAGTTTAGACTCATCAGTCAAAGCGAGGGAAAAATCCCTTCAGCTATTTTTGTTGCAGGAAAATAATACTTCACCACCAGCTTGGGCGGGGGAAGGGGTTGATGAACAAGAACCTCCTGATTTGCCGTGCGGATCATCCTCCAAGACAAAGAGCATCTTTACTAATTACAGCAAAAAAATTAAAGCAGGAGCAGTTGCTGCGGTGTTTCTGGGCGCGCTGGGGGCCATGGGCTGCACTGCCAGCAGCTCAGCAAGTCCCACCCCCAGAGCACCGTGGGGAGCCCAGGAGCAGCCCATGCTCTGCCCGCTCAGCAGGGACAGGGGCTGCAGCAATACTGGGAAACTGCCACCAAAACAGCAAATCTCGGGGGGAAAAAAGAACAACCATCAAAAGCCCCCAAGAACCTCACCAAGAGTTCAGAAGTGAAAAAACCTCAGCTCCCAGAATTCCAAGAGGTGGAACTCTTGCTGCGTTACAGTCTGAGGCTCTTTCCATGATCAAAATCAGCAAAAGGTTTAGGTTAAGCCAGATTTATACAAAACTGTCTCTAATTTAAGAACGTAAGTGCAAACTTGCTGTGTGCTAACCCTTGCCTCTAGCAGTCACGTAAGCCAAAGGCTGCCTTCAATCTCTAACAGCTTTAACACACATAGTTTTGCAGGGCTTTATTTAATTTTGACAGAGTAAAAAATAAACAGCACAAGATGATGCTGCAAAATACAAAATTTTTCAGTCAAACGGCTTTAGGTTCGCGTCACCTGAGATTTAACACCCACTACAGATTTAAGCATACATCCAATACTCTCAACAAAAGTACAGTTCCTACGTCTTGCATAAAAAACAGCACGGACTGCAACCTTTATGCAGGCAGTGTAACACGAGATCTCGCTGGTCGGGTCCTCAACTACACACAAAAGCAGCACCGGAGCAAGAACACAAATGTGCATTTGTAATGCGGCAACACTGCCACGAGAACAATGATCTGTGAGTGTTCAAAACTCTGCCTGCCCATTACGTTTGGTTTACTATTGCCAAAGTAGATAGAAACATTTTTAACTCATCACATCATCCAACACTAGCTGGAAAAAGCCTGGGTGCCCAGAGGGAAAGGACGGACAGGCAGTGGGGTGATGAACCACACGGCTGGGCACTGTGCACTCAGGTCTCTGTTGAATGCCTTGCACCTCAATGTTGGAATTAATCTTTAAAAAAAAAAAAAACACACAAAACTTCACAAAGCATTTAGAAAATTTAAATGAACTGTTCCTTTGGATTATGCTTTTTGCCTAGAAGCAGTGCACAAGGTTTTTCACGAGCTCCAAGATGCTCATTCAATGCCGTCTCTTTGCGATGGGATTTCTCAACTGTGACCTATAACTTCTCAAAATAAGATCTGGCTACCACGGAGAACTCTTTCTATAAGGGGATTAAACATATCTGGGATTTCACCACGCTACTGTAGGCCATACAATCTCAGACAACACCAGCAGAAATACTGCTTTTGAGTCACTTGGGATATGACAGTAAAAAGCAGGCCAGAGCCTTGCTAAAGCAGTGTCACTTATTCAACAGGATGCAAGGCACCAGATAATTCCCCATTATAACGCACAGGGAGACAGTGAACAAAGACTAAGGGGCAACGGAGATGGCTTGCTGTGTTTTAGTCCATGAAGGAAACGGTTTTGGTACCACCAGGAAATCCCAACCTGCTGTGGCTGTCCCACTGTGCTCTGCCCCAGTGCTGGATGCCATTCTTGGAATCACAGAACCATGATTGCAGACCAGCTGGTGCTCTATGTGTGAGGGCTGCTCGGAGCTCCACACCCTCACCATGGCTGCAGTCAGCCAAGAGGATTTCAGAGCGTTTCAATCTCTCTCACACTATTCTGCTCCTGGAATTTTTGCTTTCAGAAAACAGCGTTATGGGTTTGATAAGCGAGGCCAGGACCTGACATGGAGCAGGGCTCCCTGTGAGGTGTGGTTCCCAAAGATGGCACTGACGCTAACGTGTTCCCATGTCACATCCTGCACGCCTTAACCAGCAGCTCCACCTTTAACAAATGCACTGGGATACTGAGCTTCATCCCAGCAGCACATCACCTCCCAGACAGCGGCCAGTGCCAAATGGTTAGTTAATCAGATAAGAAAGGTACTCATTCTTCCTTAACAAAAAAAAAAAAAAAAAAAAAGAAAAAAAAAAGCTATTACATTCAAGCAGACAGTGTGTAGATGGGAGCTGGCAGATTCCACAATACAGTCACGTCAAAAATGGCCTCCTGCAAACTGTTCCCTCACCGAGCACTCAAGCCGAGCAAGGAGAGGAATCCTTCCATTACCAGAGGACGTCTCACCGCAGCACGGCAGCTTGCTGCACGTTGTGCCATACAGCCCTGCAAGCAGCAGCATATAAATGGTGTTCTGCAGGGAGCAGCAGGGGGAAACTCCTCTGCCTGCAGCCTACTCCCAGCCCCAAAGTTGAGCCGGGCCATTAGTTTGACTGTTCCCCACTCTGTGAATGGAAAATCCCTTCTCAGCACTCGCAGGCTGCTGTCTGCCGCACACACCCACCGCGCACAGCAGAAATTCCAGTCAATAAGGCGAGTGGGGCCCAGCCGGTGGAAGGGGAGGAAGGAGACACACAAACAATAAGGCAAGCATCTGGCTCTGCGACTGGCTGGAAGGAGGCCGGAGTTCAGAGGCGAGGCGGCTGCAGCCTGCAGTTCACAGGAAGATCCTATCAATCCTCGCTGCCCTACTTTTCACACAGATCAGAATATCTGCAGAGGGTAACCCAGGGTTCACAGCCCATATTCTGCAATTTCACCCAACGTGGGATGACGACGAAAGACACCTCGATGGGTTTGTCATTCCTGCTCCTGCTTGGGGCTCTGGGAACAGGCCTGAAGAACCCGAGGCCTCCCCTGCCCTGGCGCTGCGCTAATGGGGGACTGGGGAGCACCAGCCCTGCCCAGCTCCCAGCCGGCACCCAGAGCGCTGCTGTCACCCCGGGGCTGGGAACGGCCTGGGTCAACCGCATCAAGAAAGGAAAATAAAATCCCAGGGCTTCCTATACGAGCGAAAAGGGAAATCTCCTCTTTCTAAGGAAGGAAAAGGAAATTGGTTCGCTGAGTTCGGGCCTTAAGGCACAGCCGTTCCAGAATGCCTCGCGGCGGGGGGGGGGGCCGTCTGGAACACGGCGGCCCCGAGCTCCGGGGCCGCATCCCGCACAAAGGCGAGGCTCAGAGCTGCTCCCCGTTACATAATGGCCGGGGGCCGGGCCGGGGCCTTTTCCGGGGGCACGGAGATGAGAACCCCTCGAGAGGCGGGAAAAGGTCCGCCCGGGGGTCGCTCCACGGAGGGGATGCGGTTCCCTCGACGGCGGCGGAGGACGGCGGGGCCGCGCAGCCCGGCGACACCCAAGGGCGGCCCGCCGGTGACCTTGCGAACGCCGGGCCCCCCGCGCGGCCGCGGCCCCGGCAGGGTGAGCCCTGGCACCGTGAGAAAGCAGAAAACGCCGCGCAGCCCGAGCAAGCGGCCCCGAGCAGATGGACGAACCGCCGGACGGAGAGCGCGGCAGGCCCAGCGCTCGCTACCGCCCACGAAGCCCCGCGGCCCGGCCGGCCGGCTCCGCAGCACCGAGCACGCCAAGACGGTCCGCGCCGCCGCGCCGCCGCACCGGGCCTCCTTCGGCAGCGGCCCCGTAGCTCCGCACCGCCGCCGAGGGCCCGCTCCGGGGGCTGCCGGTGCCGCGCGCCCGTCCGTGCGCTCCCTTCCTCCCTCCCGCCCGCCGCGGGCCCACGCCTACCTGGCCGGCCCGTTCCCCGGGCCCCGCGCGGCACTAGGCCCGGCTGAGCGCCACGGCGTTTCCTGGGCGGCCGGCGGCAGCGAGCCCGCGGCGGCAGCGCCAGCCCCTCCCCCTAGCAGCGGTACGACGGCTGCTCCCCAGGCCGGGCGGAAACGGCACTGCGCGCACGGGGATCCCCGGCGCCGGCGCCAGGGGCGCCCCGGCCACGCCTACTCGCGTTCCCCGTTGGCTGCCACGGCGCCGCGCCGCGCCCCGCCGGGCCGCCCGCCGCCGATATCGCCCCGCCTCCCCTCGCTTCCTATCGGCGGGCTCTACGCCCGGCCCCTCCCGCGTTCTTTTCTCATTGGAAGCCGCCCGCCCACCCCGCCGCTCGCCTCACGGACGCGGCGCTCCATCGGCTCGCCGGGCCGCCAATCGGCGGGGGAGGGCGGGACGTCGCCAGCGCCGACGCGGTGCGGCCGGGCGGGCCGGGACGGTGCCTGCCGGCCGAGGCGCGCTACGTGCTGAGGGGCGGCGCCGGCCGCGCCGGGCTCCTCCCTCCCCGAGGTGCAGCTCTCCGCGGGGTAAGTCCCGCGTCGGGACACGTGGCAGAAAGAAGGGGCGGCGCGGGCGGCCGGGATTCCTGGGCGGCAGCCGCGCGGCGCCGCGCGTGCGCGGGTTGGGATTGAGTAGAGCGCGGGGGGGGGGGGAAGGCGGGGGGCGCGTCGCGCACGCGCGGTGCTCCGGGTGCGGGGCCTGCCGCTCGGCACGTCCGCGCTGCGGAGGGGCGGGGGCGTGTGGGGGTCCGCCCGGGGGCGGTACGGGCGGCCCTCGGCGTCGCGGGGCGGTGGTGCTGCTCTCCTCGGGCGGCCGCGTCCCTCCCCCTTGGGGCCCTCCTGAGGTGAGGGGAAGGGGGGTGCACCGGGCCCTCTGTCGCCTGAGGGGAGGGAGCTCCGCGCCCCACACAAAGGGCGCTGCCCGCGGGGGAGGAGGGGCGGCCCGGCGGCCGACGGAGCGGGAGGGCGGGGTGGGGAGCCGTTCTGTGGGCCCGAGGCGGGACCTCGAGTGCCGGGGGGGCCTCGGTCGCCGGTCTGTCTGGGAGCGGCGCGGCCTGTGAAACGACGTGAGGGGGGAAAAGAAGCAGGGATCTCGTGACCGACCGTCCGTTCTGTTTAATGCCCGCCGCGGCGGATGACGGCCGCGCAGCCTCGCGAGGCACCGCGCCCAGCTCCTGCGGAACCGAACTGAGTGCAAGCCGCCGGCGGTCCGCCCGGCCCTTTTCGTCGCGCCGGTCCCCCCGCCGCCGCCCCCGGGCGGGAAATGGCCGCAGGGGGTGAACCCGCAGCGCCGCCATCTTGTGCTCAACTCCCGCGGCCGCCGGAGCGGCCGCGAAAAGCGCTGGCGGTGGGGAGGCGGCCCCGAGAGCGGGACCGGACCGGCGCCGACCGGTCGTAGCGAGCCGCTGCGGGGCTCCGCCCGCGGGGATGCGCGTGCCCGGTCACGGGGTGCTGAGCCACGCGTGCTGCAGGCACTGCGCGGCCGTGGCGCGCTTCTCGGGGGCGTAGCGCAGCGCCGACATCAGGAAACTGGTGAATGGAGGCACCTCGTGTTTTCTCCACTTAAGTCTGTCCGCCAGGATGGCGTGGAGGCTGCGGGGAATGAGCCTGGAGATCCGCAGAAGAGCACCTGTTGGAGAGCGCGTAAGCACAGTATGTTATTTACGCCCTCGAGAGCGATAGGCTGTTGCTCCTCCCCTCACACAACTCATCCAAATCCTCCTGAAAGATCGGTCTGTGTGCATCTTCGTGTCTACGCTTCATGCGCACTCCCACTTCTAAACTTCGCTCTCTGGTGTTTCAAAAATCACCGTTACAAGTTAGCATGTGGGGCCTCTTCGTTGGTGAGCACTTATTAGATGTGAACACATCAAGCACAGATGAAGTGTTCCCAGGATGGCAGCACCAAAGTCATTCCTGTGGTTTCTCTGCCTACCTGTGCACAACCCAGAGTGCATTGTTGCAACAGACATGAGCCATTCATGTTTAATTTGCTTTGTGCCTGCTCATTCCATGAGATTAAGGGTGACACTGCTGACCAGGAAGTGAGCCTTGTCCCGTGTGAGTTAGTGGTGTAAATGCAGTGATTCAGCTTAGGCATGTGTGGTTGGGCCAGTTTGGTTCTCACGGAGAATAAATATACAACAAGGACTGTTTTTGACTCATCTTTTGAGCACCATAGAAGGAATAAATGAACAAAGAGCTGAAAATGAGCAGGGAGGTGCTTGCTGATCTACAGCACTGCATTAGTGTGCAACATGAGAGGAATTGTACCTAGACAGGCTGTGTGGCTGGTTAACATGAGTGAGGAGGAGGATGGACTGAATTGCAGAAGGATGGAGTTATGTAATGCCTTGAAGTCAAAGACGACTATTTCAAGCTTAATGAGCCAAAGGAATTGGGAGATTAAAACAGACATTACAGCTGGGTCAGAAGACTAAATATAGCAGCCATGGTGGAAGGATGAGAGGGTATGAGTGTCCCATTCCTCTTCATCATTGTTCTCTGCTAGTGAATGGGTGAAATCCAGCCAGTTGCACACTCGCAGCTTTCCTGCCATGTAGCTGTTTCCTGTCCTTATTTCCATTCTCTCCAGCTCCAAAGGAGAAAGGATAGAAATCTTTTCCTTGCTCGATATTTACTATGACCCTTTTTGAGGTTTCTGTATTTGCATTTATTGCTGGAATGCTCCTGGATTCCAAAGGTGGCCATGCGGGAAGCGTTACTGCGCTTTACGAAATCTCCACCTCTGTTCTGTCCCTGCTTGTAGCCTGCACTGTATAACATTACTTTTGATGTCTTTCAGTAGTAGCTCAGGAGTGTATCAGAGATCCACAGTGATTTTCAGGGTAAACTTCCTGTGGCTAATTCTTACCTGGCCTTCTGAAAAACTTTGTTGACTTGTTCCAGGATAAAGCAATCTGGGGAGGGATTCTTCCCAGGAGTTCAATAATGCGAGCAACATGATCTGGACAGAGGAAGAGAAAACATGTCTAGATACAGAGGCAGTGATGCTTCTGTCAGTGAAATGAATACAACTGATGGAGTCCTACCATCATCTCTGGAGAAATATTTCCCAGGTTGAGGATTGAACAGACACTCCCCCGTTGCCATTTCAAATGCCTAGAAATGGAGTAGCGTTAATTCACTGACCAACTGGGCGTTTTTGTTGCTCATGAACTCTGATGGGAAGGGGAACTGGCACAGGTACTATCACACAGAACTGATAATGAAACATGGAAAGATTCACGTTGCTTTGATGCACCACTGTGAATCAGCACCTCTAGTTCCATCAGGATGGAAACCAGTGTGTGCCTGCTTCAGTCAAATACATGAGCTGGCACCATACTTGCAGTGTGAACTGCCTTAAGCATAAACTAATTACAGTGAATATATCTGCAGCATACTTTCAGTCCAAAGTGAAGGAGTGCAGACAGCCTGCTTTTCCTTCTCTGACTCAGCAATGGCAAGGAGGTTGTGCTCCACATGCAGTGTGCGGGTGGGTGCTGAGGACTGCTGCCCTGGACCTGCCAGTGTCAGTCACCTTCTGTGCATGCTCAGCACTGTCTCCAGCCCTACCAGGCAGCCTGTGCTCCAGATGTCTGCAGGAGTGCCATAGTCCAATCCAAGCAGCACTTCTAGGGCGCGGTATGGCTGGGTCTGTATCTCCTTAGAAAAAGGCTTATACTGTAACAGAAACAAACACCCTTTGGTTAGCTTCGAGTAACAAATGAGCAACAGTGATGCTTGTGGCCACAAGCTGTCCATGCAATCACGAGGAAGAACTGAAGGCGTGTAGTAAATGCGTGCAGGAGACATCAGACCCATTCTCAGCCCTACTGGCGCCACACTAAATTTACCTCCCAACATTTCACAGTGAACTTGTTCACAAATTTCTGGTTTACAGACTAACTGCAAGCGGAAGAAGGATCCAAAGCTGACATATCTCTGGAGTGTACTGCCCAACTCTAAGCTGGGAGTGATGAATCAGTTCTGCTTTAGCACACTCCAGAATAACTGCTCAGCTGTAGAAGGACTGACACCCCAGCTGTGAAGGAAGTGCAAAGCATCTCACAGTCACAGGACCAAGACTTGCAGCCGACTCACTGTCCAGCATGCACTGCCCAGATCAGCAATTTTCACTTCTATGCTCATTAAATCAGAATCTTCCAGTTGATTGCCAGGGTCACCTCCTAGATGGAAAGGAGGGAGAGAAATCAGGTCTTTCTCCAAACCAACAGGTATGCATCACTTACCACAGAAGGTACTTGTAGACCTACCTGCCTTTGAAGTTTTTCAACCTAGCAATCCAAAAATGCTTTAGACAGGTGATTCTTTTCATCACCAATAAAATACCACTTCTCATTTTTGAGGGAATGCAAAGGAAGGGCTGCTAACCAGTCACAGTCTAAGAGAATGTTATGGAAAACTGCAGCTTGCAGTGGAGTGGTGTGACCACACACACCTCCTGCTGAAAGGTGCCTGCCTGGCAAGAGTTGTCAAGGACTGTCAAGGTAGCATTTTCACATACAGACCCTGGAAAAGGGTAATTTTTGTTCTACTGCTTTGTAACTGTCAACTTATGTCTGGTATAATGCCTTTTTGTTCCCAACAAAAGACTCTGCCAGTAATTTAGCATTTGTCTTTTACCCCAGGGTTTGAGGGACAAAACAGCAACATCATGGGAGAAATGCTTGTGGGAGAATATTATGGGAGAAAATGTGAAGAGTCTCATTGCTGGGAGACTAAATCCCTTGAGAAACTCCCCAGCCCTATGGCTTATCATGTATTCACATCATTCTCTGAAAATAAATCACGTCTCAAAAGGCCTCAAAGAGTACATACAAGTCTCCCACAAACCTCAGGAATACGGGAAATAAAAGAGTAGATGTGCCATACAGATTTTGGATCAAACCAGTCGGTATGTATCCTATTCCGTAGCTGAAAGAAGCAGTGAGGGAAGCATCCTGTCCTGAAAGCTGTATGAATTAGCTCTGAGGTTGTGCTCAGCTTATTGACACGTGCCTCTGATTTTGCATTGTTCTGCACGCACGCCTTTGTGCAAGGCCACTTTTCTGTTGGTGCCCTGAGTAACTTGGAGCCGCTCGATGTGGGGTTTGTAGAAACAGACAGGAGAGGTGTCAGCAGCGTGAGCTGGCTGTGTTGTTTTGTACCAGTGCTGTGGGAGATGTGAACTCTAAAGCTATCTGCACCTACTGCACCGTTTCATTTCTGGCAGTAACCTCCTAAGTCTCTGTTCTTGCAATAAAACCCCAGTGCTCACCTGGTGCCTTTAGCCTCAAATCTGTTCTCTGGCCACAGTCAGCAGCATCAAGCAGAAACCTCTGGAGGTTTTTGTCGTGAATGTACAGCAGCACGTTCTCTGGTTTGATGTCTGCGTGGATAATCCGGCAGCGCCCATGCAGGAAGTGCAGGCCTGCTAGCACCTGTGTGAGCCGAACAGCACTGAGG